ATCAGTTTCAGCAGCAGCTGACTTGGGGACGCTTGGGGTTCTTAAGTTGAATCTGTATGTAAGTCAGAACTGGCGGTCAGTTTCAGCAGCGGCTGAATCTGGACGCCAGTTCCGACTTACATACAGATTCAACTTAAGAAGAAACCTACAGTCCCTATCTTGTACGTAACCGGGGGACTGCCTGTAATCTGCATAGCAAATTATGATCACTATGTCTACAATCTGTCTTGCATCTAACTTTGACTAGATTTGGTTACACAGAGTGGATAATAAATTAAAACTTACTAATAATATTTACTAATAAAATAAAAGGTTCCTAATTATTTTCTAGGTATTATATTAATTTAGCCATAAAATTAAGAAACATTCATTTGCAAAAGTAACCTAGTAAGTAAGGATCCTGTTCAGACTAAAATATACACCATCTAACATGCACATAGCTTCCCAAAGACTACATATGCTGCTTCTGAGCATAAAATCTTGATTTCACTGAAAAGAACAGGAAAATTCCTGGATTTGCTTTAGGACAACACCACCTCTGAGAGGCTACAGAGGTGTTTAAATTTGAAAGGGGGGATATGTAAAATTAACTCCTGCTCTTCCAGTATTTCTTATTTTAGGTTCTTAGTGCTTCCCGTATTGGCATGGTTAGTAAGCTACAGTTTTGACTGGGGCAGGAAAATGAGAGAACAGGTAAGCAGAAGGTAGGTGACAGGATCTAGTGCTGTTATAAATAGAACTGGGTTGGAAACAGTTTTCTTATCCCGTGAAAGTTTTTGAGATTTCAATATTTATTCTGTATGAGGGCAGAACCAAAACATTACCAGAGAGGGAGAAGAAAAGGCAGACTGACCATCCCAGTAATAGTTTGGGGCTAGAGCACTCATGTGGGATGTGAGAGACTCAGATTCAAGTTGTTGCTCTGAAAAAACTAATGCAAGGGCTTGACCATTGTGATATTGGTTATTCTGGTGTGCCCTGCTCCTCTTGTTTAGATCAGAAATTCCATCCAGTGCACAAGAAATCTCCTCAAAGAAAGTTTTGTTGAAAAGGATGCATTTCAGTAAACATATTATTGTTTTGGTGTCAATTAACTTGCATTTTCTATAGAAAAGAACATTTTGTTAAGTAATTTCTGACCACTAAAGAATGGAAACTCCTGCCCCCTAATCACCTGCCTACAATGTCTGCAGTTTCCTCCCTTTCTTCTATTAATTGGTGTATCTTTGGGCCACAAGATCTATTGATTGCCATAACTATCTGACATCAATCAGCCAGGCCAGTCTTTCCCTTATCCCACATTAGGATGTTTGAGAATGTTCTAAGTTTGTTTAATGAGTTCCTCATCACCAACCCTGTGAGCCAAGTCACCACATATTGTAGAACACAATTCAGCTTTGTGATCATTTAGCTCGTTGGACCAAAGGCAACTTTTCAAAAGCTAATTCCTACTGGTGCTGCTGTGTTTGCCCTTCAATAACATTGATCAGGCCAGAAGCAATTCTTTGATGTTTTCAGTGGTAGAAAAGAATTTAAGAACTTCCTTGCTGGCATTTCTCTACAGGACAAGAACATTACATAGTGTGGGATGCTAGGTTGAGTCAGTTACAACGTATAATTTAGATTTAGCTATCAGATTGTAAGCTCTAGGACAAGGCCATGTTTTTGTTGGTGTCTGTATAGTACCTAGCAAATGGCGTCCAGGACTGCAGCTCCCCTGGATGCTACTAAAATACAAATAATTAAGAACAATAATTATAATTGGACTGACCTGCTCTGGCATTAAAACGCTGAGCAGAACTCACTCTATTCTCAATTAAAAAAAGGACTTGCTTTTATGAATATACTAAAGGATTCACCCAGCATTGTTTGAGTCCTTACCTCAATTAATTTTTGTTTTTCTTTATTTAAATCGTTAATCTGAGGTGGGGCTAGGGATGAGGGGTTCAGTATGTAGGCTGCCTCAGGGAGAGAGGACAACCACAGTCCTCTCTCATCACAGTAGCGTGGGGCCAGGTGAGAAGCACCTCTCCATGTATGTCCCTTTGTTGGGAGACAGACAGATACACAGACAGACAAACTCTCTCAAATACAGAGCAGATAGCTCTCCCTGTCTTCACCTCTGTCCGCTGCTGTCCCAGTTCCCATCTCTGGCCCCTTGCTCCCTTCTGTGGTCTTTATACGGTATGACTGTCCTGCTTCTAGAGTCCTTCTAAGCGCCTCTCTTCTCCTGGAGATAAGCACCTAAGGCCGGGCTGTGGGAAGGCAGCTAGTGTTCCACATTTGGGGATCTCACTCCTGAAGTCATTTTCTGAAGCAATTCCTTGTGAGCATGAGCTTGGGGCCTTACTCACTCCATACAGAACAGGGGGAAACAGGAGGAGCATGTTGAGATAATGGTTCAGCTTGTACCTCCTTACACTGGGACTCTCTAGTCTAGCAACATCCGTGGTCCGGCACGGCACAGACCACGCCTGTTCCTGGAGCACAGAGCCCTGGAACAGGGAGGTCTGGCAACAAGGCAGGAGCGCTGTAGGGGTGGACCAGTGGCTCAGCCAGGAGCCCCATGTGGGAGGGGAGAGGGCAGCAGAGTGGAGAGTACTGGCCCCGGTGGCTGGGGAGTTCGAGCATGGCAGTGGCAGCCAAGGAGCCCCATCCCTGGCTGTGGAGTCCTGGCTCCAGCAGTAGCAACAGTGGCAGTCAGGAGCTCCAGCTTCGGTCCCAGCTGCAGCGCTCCGGCTCCAGCAGCAGCTGAGCGGGTGACAGCTAGAGAGGCCCGGGGGGTTGGGGCAGCAGCAAGGTCAGGCTGGAGTCCTAGCCTGGGGGGAGAGGGGCAGCATAGGCCATGAGGGGAGAGACCTCCACTGGTCTGGCAAATCCCCTCTTTTGGGACTGGTTAGGTCCCCAGGGTTCTGGACCAGGGAGATCTAACCAGTAGCACTGCTGCTACCACCCACCTAATAACTTTTTGCTAAGTGCTTATTGCTCACCTGGGAGGTGGGAGAACCAGGTTCAAATCCTCCCTCTGAATAATGGGAAAAGTGTTTTGAACAGGTGTCTCCCACCTTTCAGAGGAGACCTCTAACCACTGGGCAACAGGATATTCTGCTGTGAAAGTCTCTCTTTCACTTCACTTGAAGTTGTTCCCCTTTGGCTAAATAATTAAGTAGTCGATGACTCTCCAATGAGAGTCCTAAGAGGTGAGAGGTGCTTGTGCAACCTTTCTCCCCCCTGAGACAGGGAACTGAACCTGGGTCTCCCACAGCTCTAAACATAAGCATCACCTGCTCTACCACCTCCTTCTCTAGCCAAATTCTGAATGGAATCCAATCTGGTAGGCAGCTAATGAACCCCATAGGTGAGACAGACACTGCTTCACCTGACTTCTCGTTTGTGGGTTGCTCTGGGCTTTGGGAAAGAGCTAGGCACACAGGTGCTTAGAGTGTGGCAGCAGTGCACATGGCATCTAGAGAACTTTTATTCTGACCATTTCTGTGCCAAGTTCAGACTCCATGAGTGTTTGATGACAGCCAAGTGGATCACAGCAATGCCTAAAACTGGTAGTTAAGTGCCTAAAAGCTTTTGTTTACTTAGGCCACAGTGTTCAGCATCTAGCTAGGATGGGTAGAAATGGTGACCCTACCCTCTGTTTGCCAGAGGCTGGAAATGGATGACAGGAAAGGCTGTTTTGTTCACTCCCTCTGGGGCACCTGGCATTGGCCAATGTTGGAAGACAGGATACTGGGCTAGAGGGACCTATGGTCTGACCCACTATGGCCATTCTTATGTTGCAAGATCAGGCCCTAAGTCAGGATTCCACTTTATGTGTCCCCCTCCGGTTACTGAGACAGGGAAGATTCACATGATCACAAAGGGAAAAATCAGCATTATGTTGTGAAGACCAGGACTTTAACAGGGTTCAGAAAGAACTAGATAAATTCATGGAGGTTAAGTCCATCAATACTTGTTAGCCAGGATGGGTAGGAATTGTGTCCCTAGCCTCTGTTTGTCAGAGGCGAGAAATGAATGACAGGAGGGGGATCATGTGAGGATTCAGGAGGGGGATCATGTGAGGATTACCTGTTTCTGTTTACTCGCTTTGGGGCATCTGCCATTGGCCATTGTCAGAAGACAGGATACTAGGCTAGATGGACCTTTGGACTGACCTAGTATGGATGTTCTTATGTTCTTATCTAATACTGGAAAACTCTTGTTAACAACAGCCAAGGAGACAACTTTAGATTGTATACTTTTACTCTGAACATCTTTAACTGGCATTAATAAATATAATCCAGATTTAACACATTTTCTAACTGCTCTCTATCCATAAAATAACAATTTTATGCTCTAAGAGATGTGAAAATGCATATAAACCTGTATCTACATCACCATACATACCGGAGTTATCTTCATCTTTGCGAATCTTTAGTTTTACAAGGTCCTCACAGTGTTGAAGGATCTGAACGGCATCTTCCATCGAGCAGTTATCCAGTCGAATGTTATCTATGGCAAGCAGTTTATCACCAAGTTCCAGTGTTCCAGTTCTGTTAAGAAATGAACAACATTACATGATTAATTAGTGACATTTAAATATGCTATTTAAAGAAATGTTAATTCTAATGTACCATTCAAATGGATTTTTAATGATTAAAAAATACTTAATATAACTTTTCCATCTTGATTTTGGATGACAATCTTAGTTTAAACGAGTTATGATTAAAAACAGATTATTTATTTCTCAGTAAAATGATTCGATTTGGAAACTTGATGTACCATAGAACTCATGTAAGAGAGATTATGTGCAGAGAATTTACACATAAGAGGGCTCAAGCTGAAGGCAATAGACTTTTTTGGGAAGTGTGAGGGAGCTCACCTGTGAGCAACACTTCCTTTCTTGATATCAGAAATAACAAGGGGGTCCCCTGGTTTTCTACTGGATGGTGCTGTAATAAAGAACACACACATATATACTTGTTAGACACATACATATACCCTTTGTATGTAGCCACAAAACATACATTTATAAATTACTCATACAAAAACAAAAATAAAAGAAAAATACAAAACCCAGCAGCCAAGAGTTAGATAATGCCATACTAAGGTTGCCTATGCAACTTAATTTAGTCCCCTTGTACATATGCTAGGGATGTGAATGATCGATCAACTAGCCCCTCTCTCCCCCTCGCTGCCGCTAACCGAAAGAGAAGTGGGAGGGAGAAAAGAGGTTGCTTCAAAGCAGCAACGCCGCGTGGAACCCAGGGCCCAGACCCTGGGCTCCACGCAGTGCTGCCGCTTTGAAACGCTCCATGCAGCCCGGAGCCAGCTGCACATGGAATTTCAAAGTGGCAGTGCCATGTGGAGCCTGGAATCTGCTGCTTTGAAATGCCGTGTGCAACCCGTAGCAAGCTGGGGAGTCCCCAGCTGACCCCAGGCTCCATGAGGCACTGCCGCTTTGAAATGCCACGGGGACCATGGGACCAGTGGGAGACTGCTTGAGTCCCCCACTTGCCCCATGCTCCCAGCAGTGCTATCGCCTTTGAAGTGTAGCTCTGGGGCTGTTGCTACACTTCAAAGGAGGAGGCACCCTTATCGACTAATCAAATAGTCGATGCAAATTGCATCGACTATTCGATTAGCCAATTAATCTAAATTTAACATCCCTAACAGATGCATTATGATTGAGGCCAGGCCTACACTCAGAGGGCTTTGCTGTTATAGCTAGCTATATAAGCTATACTACTATATCAGCAAAGTGAGTCTAGCGTGGATGCAGCTTACACCAGGCAAAACTATGCTTTTGCCAGAATAGCTTATTCCAGGACCTACCCCTTACCCTCACACAAACCTATTCTTGTAAAAGCTCAGTTTTGCTGATATTACTCTCTATACAAGGGGCTTTTGTGGTACAGCTATGCTGGTCACAAATCACACCGTATTATATCCTGAGACATGGCTGATAAAGCAATGTTTGCAGAAGTTTGTAGTCTAGGAAATAGTGGTCACAGTATAAAATAATTACATTGTATAATTTGACCACCTGTGAGAAGTTTGGCTTAAGTGACTTGCCCAGTATCACACAGGAATGGTGTGGCAAAGGCCAGGATAGAATCAACTGCACTATGAGACTATCTCTGCTCTCTTCCTGCAATTCACTGCCTCAGTCACTACACATTATCCAACCTCCCAAATGAAGCAGGGATACTACAGACAATCTCCTTCACAAACCTGATTAATCTCCAGAGCAACTCTGACTTGTGGGGAAAAAACAGTATGTGATGATATAATTAAAGACTGTATCATAATACGTATGCACAGGAGGCATTTCCTGACTTTTGAATAGTGACTTTGCAACCTTAATGTTCTTTTTGTGTGTATAATTTCCTACGTTTAAAAAACACAAACTGAAAATAAATCTAATATGTAGCATTTATATTCACACCTACATTGGCCATCAGCAGGCTGGACCCCTTAGCTCCACAATAAAGACCTCTGCCACTTGAGATAAAGGAGTAACGGACAGCAGTAGTAGAGTGTCATAATCTATGTGGACCAACCCTAGCTGTGGAAATCTGTACTATACATGTGCAAATTTTCAAAGACTAATAATTTGGCCAGATTTAGGGCAGATGTTTATGGAGAAGGTCAAATCCCTGGCGCAAAGTGCTTTGAAACCGTGAAAGCCCTCTCCCCTCCCTAGACCTTAGAGTCTGAACTCCAGCCTGATGCACAATGTCTGGTGCCAGAGTGGTACCAAGAGCTCTGTGAGCTGAGTTTGTTGAGTTGGGCTAGGAGCTCCCTGATCCGGGCTATGTACACGCACCCCAAATGCTACTATGATATTACTACTAACACCAGAAAAAGGAAAAAAAGCCCTCCATGAAATTGATGGGAATCAATAATGCAATGGTTCTATCATCACTGCAGCTGTAACAAAATCACAATCTACACCTGCTTTCACATCCCAGCGCAAACATGAACCACACAGGCTGTGGTCACTATCACATCCATGAACTTTTTTTTTCAAAAATGTTTCCAGCAAACATGTTTTTTTCATCTTAGTGCCCAGTCAAGTCTAGACAATTGCAGCTGAGGTTCCAACTTGGCTTGAACTCAAAAGGTTAGTGACGTGTCCACAGTAGACCGTCAACACCCAATTCTTTCCAAAATATTCCCAGATTTGTTCCTCACCACCTAGAGGTCATGAAAAACAAAAAGGGAAAGAAGAGCAGCTATGGCCTTGGAAACCCAAATTCTGACCCACAACCAGAAGGCTCTTCTCATTAGCAGGCAGACCTGGGTGGCAGAGAAGGAGGCTGCCCTGGATGGGGAGGCACCCGAGCCTGATCCCCATTCTAATGGCTCCAAACAGGCAGATGCAACAGAGACCAGTGAAACCCCAAGTAAACAAGCTGGAGGTCCCCCAAAATTGGCCCCAGCCCAATTAAAACAAACAAGCCTGAGCATTCCTGGGTATGGTAGGGTGCTACAGATGATTTATCCTCCACTTCTTTACCGGAGCAAGCCCCTGACAGACCTGATAAAAGCCCGGGTTCCTGACATAGTGAAGTGGACTGATGTAGCAGAGAAAGCATTTACAGGCAGTCCCCGGGTAACGTACAAGATAGGGACTGTAGGTTTGTTCTTAAGTTGAATCTGTATGTAAGTCGGAACTGGCGTCCAGATTCAGACACTGCTGAAACTGACCGCCAGTTCTGACTTACATACAGAATCAACTTAAGAACCCCAGGCGTCCCCAAGTCAGCTGCTGCTGAAACTGATCACCAGCTGATTCCAGGAAGCCCGGGGCAGAGCAACTCTGCCTGGGGCTTCCTGTAGT